ACCCATTATGAAAGCATATAAACGGGAATGCATCAGGGACAAACCACATCAGTCGTCGACACACGCATGCGCATTGTAACATATATTGTTGAAACTTTTTATGTAAGTATTTTTTAAGATATTGCTTTATAACCTTAAAATAAAATTTCAAAATAAGAAATGAGTCAATAGCAAACAGTGCTGATCAATGATCTTTGTTTCCTTATTGGTACCATGGACCGCTAGCAGGCTAACGTTAAATTATCATAGAGATGAAGACTATGGAAAAAAGGCAAAATGAAAACTGGCAACATAATGTTCAAAACAATCTAACAAATAGTAATGCTACATGCACATATTAAAAATTAGTATATGTTGTAGTCTGCACAAATGTATTTTCATGTTGGTGTATGAACCACACTTGTTACAAAAAATAATTTTAGAGTTATCTATGTATCTATGTATTGGTATCAAACTTTTTCCTAGTTCTTAAAATAATAAGTGTTGTATTTTTGTGTACGTCAACAGTGATGTGAGGGATGATCAAAAATAAACCGGACTGTGACCGTCAATTGAAAAATTTTCAACCTATCAATTATTGTTATATATCACACTTACTCGGAAAACAATACCTGTAAACTGGTGCTTTATCTAATCTGATAACGCAAACAGGTTGTCCGTAACAGCGAATTCAAAAACCATAGTAACGCACACCCGGCGCAGTGCGTAAATTCGCCTTGACAGTAGGCGCTTTAAGCTGCGTATATTTAACAATATGAAACATTTAGATTTCAAAATACGCCAAAACATCATAAACCATATCTTTTACGTTGTCAGTAAAAATGACTTCATTTAAACCATACTTATATTTGCAATCACAATTCAAACGTCACTTGCTAATGAAATACTCCCGTTAAAACAGTGTCGTTGGAATGTCTCGAAAATCGATCAATAAGACAAAAATGTCAAAAGAAAGATGAGAAACTGTTTAAAACGTAGAAAAAGATTATAGTTAACAAGGGAAAAGTTCCAAAAGGCCACAGCATATTTCTTATTAGCATAAAGAATTAAGTAGGGGTAATAGAGAAATAGAAAACAAGCAAGGGAGGGACAGAAAAAAGAAATTTTCAAGGACGTTGGTGACGTCAATCGCCAAGACGTTGAAAAATGACAGCCGATTGACTGCGGACATTGTCAACGATTTTCGACAGTGGCTACGGTAAGGTGCAGTCAACTCTAAGGATTTTAAAATGATAAAAGTTAATGCATTAATAACATATATTGTATTCTTGGTTTACAATTGTACCAATTATTTTCTTATTTTACGCAGTAGTTTTATGGAGAAATCGTGTCAACAATTAGACAGTCACTGTTCAAAATCGGCTAGGTGTTTTATTTATTTATAATAATGACAATTTTGTTTTGTTTTATTCTTTTATTATTTTCTTATGTATGATACATTATCATTCAGCAACATTATTTAACATTTTTGTAATACATAATAAGGTTTATTGCATGTGTGTTAGTTACAGAAGGAAAGAACGGAAGTTTGCGTCATAACAGGAGCTCTTTATCATCATCCATTATTTTACAATACAATATGATACCCACTTGTACAGAAATATATATTTATATATATAGGCAGTGGATCCGCCGCATCAACAACATGACTGTACGACGTATTTGCCTACTCCGTGAATGAGTAAAATGCTGCTCCGTTAAGACAAATTCGCTTGTGACGTCGTTAACGTCAATTTCAAAGTTTAGAAAAACTGCAAAAATCTTATCGGAAAAGTTGATGTTTGTTTGTTTGTTTTTTTTCACTTTACGCCTTTTTCAACAGTATTTCAGTCATATAGGCGGGTAGTTTCCTAACCATCGTTCCTGGAGAGTTACACCAGTACTAGACAACCTTCCTCCGCGCTAAACTACCAAAGCATCTCCCGGGGATCGAACCCACGCCAGAGAGGTAACTGGATTAGAAGTCATCGACTCTAACCCATCGACCACGGAGGCGGTATCGGAAAAGTTGACACAATAGTATTGTGTGGCAGACAGAATATAGCATTAAGAGGCCACAACGACGATAACGGAAACATTTAGACATTATTAAAATTTCAAGATCAGAAGAATATTATTTTGAAGAAACACTTGCACTCTGGTGACCCTGTACGCTTTAGAAATCACATTCAAATGAGCTTATTGCTATCACAGGAGGGCAGATATAAAGTGCTGCCTAAAATAAAGCTGGGATGTTTGGGATCATTGCTGACGAAGCCACAGTATAATAATACCGTGCGCCGCATTGCTTTACATTTTCATGCCAATAACAGCATAACTTTTTTCTTTGTTTATATTTCTTGCTGGTATTTTTTGTATCATTCAGTGGATATATTCCGATTTATTTTCTGTGTATTTTTATGTAAATTCATTTAACAGGTAAAGAATCATTTACAAAGTCCGATTAATTTTTGATCATCCCTCGTATTAACAGTTTAAAAACCTCTTGTATTAACATAATTTGCTGTATGTACGTATTTCATTATAATTCAGTATAACAACATTTATTTGTTGTATATATAAGTGGAATATTTTTCTTATATAAGTTTCTTGATGAAAACTATTTGTTACAAACTATCCCATCCACTAATATATAGAACACTTTTAATAAAGGTCGCTCAATTGTTATATTACTTCATATTTACTCAGTTGTAATAGAAAGGGTGCACAAGGTTACAGGAGAATTATGTATACTTACTTGAGCAAACTGTCGGCTAATTTTGGTATTAAGATTTGTAAAAATGTATTGACAATACAATTGTTTACTTTTTATTGAAATTTAATTCTTATCGAACTTTCTTTTCGTGACTATAACGCACAAATTATGCGTTTTTTAAGATGTTGCTTTATACCCTTTATTATGTGAAACGATTGAAAACCTAAAAAAATATTGTTCGTTGATTCAAGGCTGGATTCATTTATGTCTCCCAATATTGTAAGAATGGTAATGGAGTTATAGAATGATAATAGAATGAAAAAGATGAAAAAGCAGTTAATCTATATTAAGGTTATAATAAACAAGACACTTTCTCTATAATGATAAAAGGCACATCTGGAAATGTTTTGCTTATTTATTTAGTGATGCATGTGTTATGTCGTTTAAATAATTATATATACAGTATGCATAGAGTAAATAAATATACGATTAATTTTACAACAGGTACGTTCTAGAATAAATCTTATCGAATGCTGTTTTTCAGTTTAGAACTAAATGCTATTATTATACATTCTTTTTTCACCCATTGCCATTGGACGATTTGTTCAATATCGTTTATCGTTTTTGTCACGTAATTCTAGTGAAGTTTCGACCCTGTAAAACTTCAGTATTATTTAATATTACAATTGAAAACCATACAATGACTTCCATACAAACACTAAATCGCTATACATGTAACTGTGATTTTTATTAAAAAGGGCAAAAAAAGCAAAAGATGCTTCAGAAAGTCGTCATTTGAGTAACTGTTTGGAAACTTACGAGACATCAAAAATGAAAAGCTTTTGAAAAAGTAAAATAAAACCATTTCTTGGACATAATGGGTCTTCAATTTTTATTTCTATTTTATACGGACAACTGCCAAAAATATGCAGTGTTCTCAACAACCGATTCGTTTGGGGTTTTTTAACCTGGAGTTGAGGTCTATCAATTTTAAACATACGTACTTTGATATATATAAAACAACAACCAATTATGTAATATCTTTTAAATATCTCAAATTAAATTCAATTTGACAAATGCTAATTGAGTTATAATCATTCACATGGCTTAAGTAGCAGATGATAAACAATTTCAACAGATAATTGTGTTGATGCAGAAACAGACACAAACGATACTGAGCGAATTAACAAGCTCCCTGGTAGAATACTTATACATTTAGAAAACAATACGGACGCCATTACATTTGCAAATCTTATTAACCTCCAGACTTAAACAACAAGCCGACTCATTATACAATAAAGATGGAAGCATGTGTTTTTTTTTCCAAAACAAGGCGTGGGTAGAAAGTTCATTGCGTAAATTAATGAAATTATTCTTTCTTCGCACATAAGACAACGTTACTTGAAATGTGTTGGTATTCTTATATAACAAACTTACGTTTCATAAGTACTTCCATGTCTTGTCAGTATTTATCAGAAACCTAATTGATAACATTGCAAGCTAAAACTGTCAAAGCAGTCTGGAAGCCAGTACAAACAGATCTTGCTCGACACATTGAAAATTATTTCATCACCATGCTCAACATGTCTTGAGTCATCATCATTTACGGGTCATTGCACTTTGTTTATAAAAGAGCGGAAAGGACCTTCAATAAAAGCTTAGTTTGAAACCGTCTTAAATTAATAAGATTGAATACAATTTTTTTGGCTCTCTCGCTCTTTTTTTCTCTAATTTCCCCAACAAAGACTGCTAAAGGATTGTCATTTACATGACATTTATTGCTTGTTTAAGGTTGCAAAGGTTTTAATTAAATAAAGGAGGATTAAAGAGGCTTTGCTACGTGTTCAATTTCCTAGAAAATTTGACGGCAAAAAAGTTGAAATGCGTTTCTGTTTTTCTTGAATACATATGGCACAATTGAAATTAGTATACAACCATTATCTCCCAATGTGTGTGTTGATACGTTGTACACTTGTATTCAATTATACTTTGATAGTTTGGCTAAGAACGGCTTCGGTGTTTTATTTCAATTTTCTTCTAACGCTTATTTAAGAAGGTATAGGAAAACATTTTGTTGTTGTTTTTTTCTTTACTTGTCAACTGTGACATGTTTACCATTTATCAAATAAAATCTATGACAAAATATTTAACTGACATAGCTTTTATTTGTCAATAATTAAAAACTGGTTATATTTTATCAGCATGACAAATCTGTAACATGTTATGAAACAAAAGTTATCATAATAATCTTACTTATATTCAGGAGAAATGTAAAACAAAAAACTTGAAACTTTAGAAATGTTACCTTTCTTGGGACGGAGAGATAGTTCGAATTCCAGTTAATGGACCGTAGCATGTCTCCAGGATCTGAAAATACAAACAATATCTGATGATGTCAACCATTTCAAGGCATTCATTTTAACTCATACTTTTGTCTCCTACATATGTTTATGCATGGGAAAATGGATTTTTTTATCGTGCAACAAAATGGACATTGAATAATGGCAGCCGTTCGTGATGAAAATAATTATAAAAAAAACTGGTATCTTTAGCAAGCAGAAGATTTGGAAAGTCAATATTTGTCCGCACAAGTTTTGATGTGATTTATGATTAACAAGAGACAACCAACAAATTTCTTCTGAATTAAAACCGATTGTAGGGACGGAATTTTGGATTAAGTATTACTTATATGCAATAAGTACGTATATGCTCGGCGTGGCCGAGTGGTTAACACGTCGGACTAGTAATCTAAAAATTGCTGACCGCGTGGGTTCAAACCCTGTCAGGGGCAAGCCGTTTGTTTCCTTGAGTAAGAAACTTTACATTCATTGCTTAGTACTAGGAACGGATTCGAGAGTGTTTCAATAAGCTTATAGCTTCCAACACAATCGAACTAAAATAAATTTGTATAAACTAATAAATTAATTTCACCATGTAGAGGAGTAAGTAAACATGGTTATTTAATACATGTTCCCCATGTTTCATTTCTAACTTTGTGAAATGGTTATTGTGTAAATACACGAAATTATTTCATATTGTTCCAAATGATTGTTTATTTTTATCAACAAAAAGAACTATAGCGAATACATCTGTAAACTAGAGGGTCATGATGGTCCTGAGTCGCTCACCAGAAACAACTGATTTTAAGTGTTGGAAATTATTTTTCAAATGTACTTGCTGAAAGGCAAGTCCAGCTCTTTCGTTAAGTTCATCTCAACTTTAACATGCCCTTCTAGTAATATACTTTCACAACACTACTTGATTTTTTTTTCTTTTTCTTCATATTAAACAATAGGTCCCAATAAGATGAAACTAGATCACTCATCTAACCCATCATTTCATTATTCACTATATAAATTGAAATACTTAGCCCTAATATTTTGGAAAGACTTTGTTAGAATAATTATGTTGCAAGTCTGTACCTACGAGAGAGAGTATGTCGAATAAATGAATGCAGAATAAGTGACCACTAGAGCAGGGTTAATTTTGATGGGACAATATTTATAACTTTTGTGAATGAACACACAAAATGTGACATGCAAAACATGTTAGGTGTAAATGTTGAAGTTTACAGTTTAGGACAACATTTTTTTTTATACATCCTATTATGGTAACATAACTGTACTTCGAAAAAAGACAATAGGTCAAACAATGTAAAAAAATATCAAAAATAGGCCAGCTAATATCAAAATTCAACTCATCATCATAAATCACACCCTTGGTCCAAATTTCATGTCTTACGGCAAAAAGCAAGAAAATAGGTCAAATGATATAAAAATATCATAAGTAAGTCAGCTACTATCAAAACTCAATTTGGCACACAAAATTACACCCCTTGTCCAAATGTAAAGTCACACAACAAAAAAGTAGGTCACGTGGAATCAAAAATATCGGAAGTAGATGAAAAACGTGATAAAACACTACCTAGGAATGCTACAGACAAAATTTGGTGATCATTCATCAAAAAGCTCTGTAGAAGGAGATGTCTAAACGTTTTACTATTTTTAGCTCTAAAGACCCCTAAAAGGGGCCAATCAAATTTAAATGAGCAAAATTGATACAAGACTACCTAAGATAGCTACAGATAAATTTTGGTGATCATCCATCATTTAATTGAGTAGTAGAATATGTTTAAAGGTTTTTCTATTTTTAGCTCTGTTGACCCCTTAAAGGGACCATTTAAATGGTTTTAGTAAGTGTTCGATTTTCATTAACACTTTTTGCTTTGTTTGTCGTATCCTTTAGAGTCATTCTGAATGTAATATGGTGTTTTGGCTTTTTTATACCAAAATCACTAGTAGAATAAATCACATCACCTGCTACACAAAGGGGAAAATGGAATCTTTTTGGCTCTCTCTCTCTTAGTTAGCCTGTTCATGGAAGGCGATTCATTATGCAAAATAAGGTTTCTTATATTGTTAGCCTGATTCAAACGGTCAAACTAACAACATGAAAAGGGAGAAAGGTCTGGCATATGAGGAGGAAAAATCCGTCATTGAGATGAACGAAGCAAACACAAATAAGGCGAGGAATTTCATTAATTTCATGCAGCAATTTCTTCTATACTGTATTAACTTAACTGGCGTTAAACCGTTTGTTAATTTTATGTTGTCATGTTTCTACGTGTTTTATTTTGTTGTTTTATTTGTGTGTTTTCTTTTTTTGTCATGTTGTAGTATAACCTTGTACTCTATAATGTTTTTGTATAGCTTTTTGTTTTTGTTGTTGTTTTTAATTCGGATATTAACTTAAAGATTACACACCAAAATAAACATGGATACCCACCATCATATTTTTTTTTGTTCTCTTAAATAATGACGTAACAGTGGGAAGCTTTGTTTTTTTCATGTGACAATAATAACCTCAAATAGGTATTACATAATCTGTCAAAAATAATGGTAGAGCATTTGGTGGTAAGTATGATTTTGACAGAATAAGGCCGATATTTTTCGATTAATTACGGTTTGCATTTCAAATATGTGTAAGATTGACAACGATTTTTGCAACTATCGACAACAATTATGTGTGTTTAGAGGATTTGATTAATTATTGCATTGCTACATCAAATATTTATGAATTCACGCAGGCAAAAAAGTCAAACTATAATTCGATGGAAATTATAAACTTGAGGAATTTCCCGTTAATTATTAATGATGAGTGGAACTATCTAATGCAATGCTTCATTCGGAATAATTAAATTTGAATATTTAAATGCATACTTTAACATTTTGTATTTGATCTAACATTTGATTATTTGGTTCAGAGCATGTTTCCGGAAAATTTATAAACACGCACCTGATACCCAGGTAGAAAAAAACATTAAATGTGTTGTCCGTAACTATGTTATCCATCTGAAATGTAAAGTTTGATGCTGGGTAGAAATAGGAAATATATTTATACATATGAACGGTTTATAGCACAAATGCAAAATAACATTATTCGAATGCAAAGTATTACGTCGCACCGACACGGTTAAGATCATACGCCGAAACAGGAAAGATGATATTAGATAACCTTGGGTTTAAGCAACACCAGGGGTCAAAATCGGCACACTTGCTGGACCTAAGAGATGCACAAACTACAACCAATTTAGTCGCCTCTTATGATCACCTAGTGTAAAACGGTAGCTGCAATTTTGATGCCTAAGCCCGTAAAAGCAACCCCTCTGTGACAATGGGTAACTGTTTGACATCAGAACAGCAAATTTAACATAAGTGCCCTCATTATTTTAAAAATTTATTTCAAATAGAGGTATGACGAATCAATAAAATGAATTTACATATTTTTAAGTACACTCAGAAGGTCATTGTGCAGTTGACGATATTCCGTACAATAAAATATAAGAGTCCGTACAAGAAAATAGTAAATAAGGTCCTATTCTATAGGCCTTAAACCCTACGAAAACTATATTTCCGTAGAGTTTATAAGGAATGCTTAAATACGTGATATGACGTCTTACGTGACGGTTCGTGATGTCAGGAAAATAACTTCTCCTCTCAATTTAGTTCAGCAGATTTTCTATCTATTCTTATTCTTTGCATGTTAGAATGGAAAACAGACATCAATGTTTCCTTTGTTGAAGATCTGTTATTATAATGCATGGTTTATCGTTTAAATGCTTTGTAATTAACCGTGGTTATATAACTGCGCAGCAACTCAACTCAAACAGTGCAACATTCCACAACAACGCTCTCGAAATTAATATCTATTTCCTAATTAATGTTTCGAGTTTCTTTTCCACAAAATGTGCTTAATTTACGAATTATGCCAGTTCGAGCATAAACATTGATACTGTTAATCAGGCGCATGCACAAATACTATAGAATAACCAGCAAATCTGATCTCATTGAAGGACAAATTGTTTATTGAACCTATAGACCTTTTTTCTTTACCATGCTTTAGCACTAGTCATTAATTTATAATGGCTCTGTTTATAGAAGGAATATCTTCTGACCATATGAGCGGACTCTTTTTTGGAAGCATACCTTAGTTAACATATCTGAAATTTGTACTGTTTTTTTTTAAAGAATGAACCCGGCACACTCAGTGTCTAGCCAGATTACATGACATTGGGCGCCTTCTTTGTAAATATCAATAAATGAGAACGGTAGCTACACAAGACTAGCAGTGTATTTGTGCATGCCAATAGATTTCGATAAATTTTCAACTACTTGTTTCTTGTACTTGTTTTTGTACTTTTGTTGTTGTTGTGGTTGCTGCTGCTGCTGCTGTTGTTGTTGTTGTTTATTTTGTTTTCTTTTGTTTGTTTGTTTGTTTGTTGTTTTTGTTGTTGTTTTTTGTGGGGGGGTTATGAGGGTTGTTCTTTATGATAATGACATATGACATAATATACCAACATGATATTTATAGATGGCATGATATATACAGCAAAGGAGAATTTTTAGATCTACATGACCAAAAGCAGAAAACATTATAATTATAAATTTGTGCAACAATATTGAAAATTATTTTGCAGTTTGGACAGGATAATATTTGTAAATCTTGCATTTAAACTTAGATATGAAATAAAAGATTACAAAAAATAACAGCAAATGAAACCTGAATTGCAAAAACCATTGCTTATGAATCCGGTTTCAAGTAAAATACAAGTTCATGCTTATATAATTGCAAAACTGCATAAATATTATTTTCCTTATATAGAATCTAGTTTAACGCATTTATTACTCGTGCCATATAAGATTCTTATTGTTATAAATTGCATTTACAAGCGGCCACCCGTTGTTAAAATTAATGAAATATGGTATATCAAGCCACAATGACATGTTAGTTTTCATTTGGTTAACCATGAAAATAATGTGGTATTATTTACACACAGACAGCGCAAGGTAACATATTAAAAGTGCACCATTAAAAGACTAATGAGGAAATGTAGGCTGTTATAGGAATTAAATACTTCGGAAAAGTTTTTTTTTATAGTATTATGTGTCAGCTATATATACTTTAAATGTGCAAAGTTAATAAATACATCTGAAATGTTTCTAAATTAAACACCAAATTTCATGTTCTGCTCAAGTCGGTGCTTGTATGCGTCGACGGTATCTAGCATATAGCAATGTTGTTCGTCAACAAGCTTAAAACCAAACCAACAGTGTTTTCAATTTTGCAGTTTTTGAAAGAATTTTTAATTTTCAAATGAGAACTGATGCCGTTTCGTTGTAATGAATTTGTTCTGATCAATAACTTTCAAATAGAATAAAGCATTTTAAGGGAGATTTCACTCTTATGGTTGATAATGAAAACGAAAATATCGATATCTCTGTTTTGAATGCCACCTTTTGATGAACTAATGGAAATTAAAGGATATTCATATTACATTTTTCTACCAGTACATAAACCAATGAATGACTTAAAGAAGAAAACTTTATCATGAATGATTTCTATGTTAAATTTTTATTTACCATAGTCGTCCCTTTCGGTATTTACAACTACTTCCGGTACTTCACTCCACATTTCCGGTGACACCCTCGGCGACGGTAGAACGTTACGAAGTTGTCCGCCCGATGACGAAGCTGTGTCGGAATTGTCACGTGATAAATCGGCCGAGCTACCTCGGATTTCTTCTAGTCGCCTAAGCTGTTCTGTCGATAAACTATCCCCACCTACACTATAATTCCTGTCCGGATTTCTACAAAGAACCAAAAGTTACCTTTTAAACGAAATGTTAAAATAATACACAATTTTTAACGTTGTGATCACAACTATTTATTCCCCCTTTCGCAATTTAGAAGAACTTGTCTGACTGTTTTTCGCGTTATTCACAATCTTGTCAGATATGATTGATATCAAACGGAAGTAATATCCCATTTATATTGAATGAATCTTAAACGGTTATATCACTCTAACACGAAAAAGATTCCATTGTCGGTGAATAATTACCTCCAGACATCTGAGATGTCTTTTCAATCAGTTTGATACGGTAAAAAAATAACTTGTTGCAAAATTAACATGTTAGGGTTTATACCTTACATTGTAAAAACTACAACTTATTCAAACGTCAAAAAAAAATTCATATTAGCAAATATTTTATATAGCTTTAAAGTTTTAAAAGTTTCACAGTTCACTTATTTCGATTTAAATTTGAACTGAATAGTTTCGAGTGTATTTATTAATACCATCAGTTTACGTAATCAGTGCATATCAGTAAATGAGTATGCACTCTTTTTTATTCCGCGTCGGTAATTTGAAACGATATAGTAGTAAATCCTTTCTAATGAACTACTTTCTACAAATTAATAAATACTGTTAGACTGTTCTGGTTATCATTTCATGTTGTAATTTGCCTGCGGGATTTCGATTATTATTGACTTTCATCAACAAACTTCATCTTTCGTTGCTATGTTGACAAATACATATATTTCTAAGCACATTTATAGAGATTCAATAGGATCTGTTTTGAGTTAGATTCATCATAAATGACAAAACCGTCTGATGTTTGATGCCATTCGTGTCAAAATCATATGTGGGTTCGATTATTTTTCGTTTCCTAACATTTAAATAATAGCCTGCTTTACTTGTTTTTGGGAGGAAATATTTCGGTTAAATAGACAAAAAAGATCATTTTTATATAAATGTTTACTGTAAATACGCACGTTCAATTAATTTTGACGATGATTTGTCTGAGAGAAATGTAACAAGTCAAGTCTTTGCGGTGTTTAACGGCTATTTAACACCGGTTTGGCGTTTTGATGCATATGAATTGATTACATAGACCTTTACTTCTTCGCATTAAAACGACAAGTTGTAATAAATTCGATGAACGCCACTCTAAAGCCGATATTATTTTGATTCTAAGACAAAAAGGGAGATCACTCGCTAATCTTTAAAATAATATATTTGGCTGTTTTATTTCACGCCCTAATTTCGCTCAAATAACGAAAAAAAAATTTCATTTTCAGATTGATAGCTTACATTACTATATTTTGTCAAGTATTTTCTTATCAATTTATCAATAGTTTAAATTCATATGAGGCTTGATGTTTTAGCGTTTAAACCCCTATAAAATTTTGCGTTTTTTAAGTTATAATGAATGATGTAATATTTTTATAATGCATAAGATATCGATTGAAGATGACAAATTAAGATATAATTTTAAATTTGCAGTATTATTGTTGATGTCATGCTATTTTAGAAAATGACAATCATGAAAAGAAAAAAGATGAAAGGAACAAAAAGTATCATTAAAGTTTCTGTGTTAATGGTGCCTCTTTTTATCGGAGGAAGAGCATAAAAAAGAACAGCCACAAACATTTTGTATATACATGGTAAACATTTTTTCTTGCAATTGGTTGTGTATAGTGACAAAACCAAGAGTCAATTTAGAATAAGATTGACGTTATACGTCAAGCAGTGCCCAGTTTGACTTTTAAGTCAATTATGTTAGATCTTTTTTGGGAAAAAAAGGCGTAAGCGCTAAAATACTTTTGACGACATTCCAAAATAATGTACGATTATTCTGGAAATGACATGTAACAAAATAAATTGTTGTCTTTGCAGAGATCAACAAAATAAATAAATGGCGTTTTATATATATGTATATACAACAGAAAAGATATGTCTGTTTGATTCTGACAAATAAATCAATATTAATACTTAAATCTACAAGCAAGATATAAAAAAAAACAATTTGTCCATTAATTCCAGCGTTGTGAAATATGTAATGCATGTAACACCTATTCCATTTCTATATATTGAATAAACTAATACCAAATATATTGTCCATTCAAATACCATTACATGTGTAAACATTTGTTTATTATTGTGCTATTTCCTTTTTCTTTCATATTTTAATTCTAAAATTAAATCTAATATCCGTTTCTCATTAACACCAGTTTGTACAATCTTCGCATTTTATTGACTATCAATATTCATACGTACTTAAAAAATATTTATATATTTATCGATCAATCACTTTATGAAAAATTGTATTCACAACATATTGATCTTTGAATTAATTTAACATCCATTTTTAATATACCAGTTCAGCTCATAATGCAATATGCAAACTGATCGTTTTTCACATGTATTGATCGAAACTCAAAACATTCACTTGCTTAAGATAATTTTACATATTTCCATTAACTGTTGTTCATATATATAGATTGACTCACAAAACAAGAAACCTCCATCTGACCATTGTATTAATTTGCTTAAATGTCACGTAAAAAAACTTGTATAAAATAATTAATACACCATATATATGTGTGTTGATATCCACGACTAAACTGCGTAGATGATTCTATTTTGGTGAATAAACAAGTATGTTTACCCTGCTAGAAGACACATTTATCCTGACTTGAATTCAACGCACTGGATTTATTTATTGTTCTGATTAAAGAATAATCCGACTGGAAAATTTTGATCAAAATAAATGTGCTTTATCTAGAATAGAACTGTTCGTTCAATCACACAAATTAGAAAAGTATGACTGGAAAATATCGGCGGTAAAATCATATCAAAGACGTTATTAATTTAGTGCTCTTAACTTACTGCACGTGTATCTATGTTTCACAGCGTGTTAATTAAACGGATACCATTTATTGATCATAACAGAATAATATGCAAAGAACATAACTATTCAAAAGAGCGGAAAATTAGTACTAAGAAACACGGAATGCCAAATTACTACGGAACTGTGAACATTTCCAGAAATAATGTATTACACGCGAAGGAATGTGATATCATTTTTTTTTTATTATTTTATTCATTTATTTATTTATTTATTTATTTATTTATTGAATTTCTTTACGGCGGGGGTGTTCGTTTTATTCTTCACGAAATATAATATTTATTTTGTATCCTTATTGTCTGAAAACACACTGGTGGAAAAATAACTTCATGAGTAAAGGACTTTACGCCATTACATTCAAAAGTTATTACAAGGCAATGACCGTTTATTATATATCACATTTCATTGATGTAAATACTTATTTAAAACTCGTTTATTTTGCCCTGATTGTGACAACAGCTTAAATCTAGACAGCTAGCTTCATGGAACTGAACGCAACAGAATTATATAAATATGAGGCAACCTGGTGGTGCCCTAGATAGAAACCAGGTTAATGTACCCAGCAAGATTTCGGTGTAGTGGATCAGATACTTTAGCCGTTTTGTCATCTCTCTCATATAGTAAATTGATGCTAAATCTGCTTGTTAGTGATACATATTCTCTTATAATTGTTACACAACTGCCTCTGTTAAAATCTAATAATTAAAGCGGTTTTGTTTTAAGAAGCTCCAGTGAGGTCAAAACCCCTTAAAAATTTAAAGTTCTAACATAAGTAAGACGATGCACTTAAACAAACGAAATATGGAAAATATACTCAGAATGAAATCGACAATACACTTTTGTGATATTTTTTGTTCAATCTGTCTGAAATAAAAAAAAACATCAATATATAAGTATAATGGTGATTTATAGTATTTTCTTGAGCTATACTTATTGATGGAAATTACCTTCAAAGCACTCACCTGAAAGTTGCTTTAATCTATCCAGTTCCATCAATTTTATTTTGCATTTCATATTTGAAATAAATTTTATTTTAAAGAAAAAACAAAACAAAAAAAATCCTCTCTACCAGCCATTCACTTTCAATATGAAATCATGAGATATTATACCATATAAGAACAATCGTGTAATTAACACAGAATTGGAACTACTTTTTTCCGCGCAGTGAGTCTGCAAATGACATAAATTGGTCATGGAAAAATGTTTAAGATATCTTTTGTTATTGATGTACGATGGCATTTGAGCTGATATTCATACATCTGTCTACTAATCAGTGATGACATTCTGTATGTTATATAAGGAAACAATGAATAATTTTAATTAACTTATTTCGGAAGGTTTCTGACGTTTGAATGCAAATGCAGAGTCTATTATATATTCCTTCATATTCATACGATAATGATCTAAAGTAGTCGGGTTCCAAGTCTGATCATTTTAAGACATTATTCTATACAAATTCTAATATCAGTTGATAATCAGCATAACAAAAGCAGCATGCCTCCAGATTCGCACTTATTTTCATGAAAATTTTGAAAATGTATTTAAAAGTAAAATATTGCACAGTGAACAAAGATAGTAATTTCCACAATGCAAACGGGACTTAAAATCTACGTAAACTTCTATAAAGAGGTAAAAATATGCAAAAATAACCCCTACTGCATTAGTAAAGCTATATAACTATGTGATACAGACTGCGAAATCAGTCATTATTCACAAATAACATGTAAATCTTTACTTCAACCTGAATCTTTTTACTTTCCTTAAGATATTATTTCAATTTTCTATAGTTTAATTTTATTGAAATATTTATGTTCATCTGGTGGCATACACCTTTAACTAGTTGTTTTTAATTTTATTTTGTAAATGATTTTAATGTTTAAAGGGACTCCACCGAGGGTTTTGAACATGATGAGACTGGAAATACTTTTTTCGAGATTGCATTTGATAAAGGTTTAGACAAATGACTTGGGGTGAATTTTCAGATCATTATCTCACTCCGTGTTTCAAGAATAATTATTCTAATTGTTAAAACAAAACCCAAAATTGAAAAGCGTTTAATCGGAAGGAGAATAGCACAATTTCTTTCTGAGCGTATTTCTTAGTTCATCTTTTGCATATCT